ATATTTTCCAAAACTAGTAAGTTTTTGTCCTTTTCACACTTCTCATTAATTATGTCATTTTCACACTTATCATTAATTATGTCATTTTCACACTTTTCATTAATTATGTCCTTTTCACACTTCTCATTAATTATGTCATTTTCACACATCTAATTAATTCATTAATTACGACATAATTATCATAAATCATTCCATCTGAGCTTTTATCGTTAAAATGTATAGCGATCTGTTATGACCTTATCCCATTGATATTTCCATGAAGCGTCCTTATCGCGTTCTATTTTTTGGTAATCACTCTATATCAATAACCGGATATTTGGTTAATGATAGCACACGTCTTTATTTCAAGGAGCGGATATTCTTTGACCTTTAATTAATCTGAACTGATTGCCTTGACTTTTTAAAGTTTCATCGAAATAGTAATCGGAACTTCTTTTTTTTAAATATTTCGGCTTAAAATTCGGATTTCATTATGCAAGTTATCGGATTGTTTGAATGAAAATGAATGAAAAGAACACCAAAAACAGGTAGCCTTATTCATATAACCAATCCTAAAATATTAGTTTGTTCACCAATCCTAAAATATTAGTTTGTTCACCAAAAATATTAGTTTGATTTTTAGGATTTGTCTCTTTTGAAAATATTAGTTTGTGATAATGAGGAGTTACCAAATAATCAAACTCATAATGTTGTGTACAAGGAGGTTTTTAATAATATATGATTGTCACCGAACTTTTTATGAATACAATGTTCCTATGTATTTTAATGATTTCAGTTTCGATCCTAATGTACGTGAGATTATATTATTCTTCCAAATTTTACATCTCGTGCATCGCACGGGTTACGTACTAGTCTCAATACACTACAAGAAACATGCTTAGTAGGAACGACAAAATTGGCACGACAACAAAGTCGTGCCTATTAAGAAGTTATATAGCAACGACATACAACAAGCGTGCCTATAAATCAATAACACTGTTGGCACGACATTATTCATGCCTATAGGTTCAATGTTGTGCCTATAGGTATGCATTTTTTGGAATGACCATATGTTATGCTAATAGGTGCTCATGTTGTGCCAATACATGATTTCACCATGTTTTTGTCATTTTATTCAATTTTTTTTTTATTTTTTTTTTATTTTTTGTTAAAACTTAAACAAATAAAGTTTGATATAATATTTAGCTATGAAATTATTTTTTGGATGTGGACCATGTCCAGTGACTTTATCTCATGATATACAATTCATACTTGAGTGTCTGATCAATTCAATGTTACACTAATTTGACATATATATATTTTTTCAGTAGTCTTGTCAAATACGAGCACCGAGTTTTGTTGTAGTAGGAGCATAAATATAAAAGATAACCAATGTGTTTAGCTAATTATTAAATAAATTAACATCGGATAACCAATGTGTTTAGCTAATAATTAAATAAATTAACATTGGCTAATACTAAGACACACCACTCTAATTTCTTCCTTTGACTCTAGGTTGTCAATCACGGACGGATCCAGGAATTAGGAGTAGGCTGGACTAGAATTTTAAAAACTCATTTTCATAAAGTTCACATAATAATTTTTCTTCAAATATTCACTGAAGTTGTGTTCGACAAGCTTTACAGAATAAAATTCATTATGAGTTTGCACCGTATTTCCAAGTGCCCACATATTCCCAAGTATCACAAGGTCTGATATGTTACCTTTGGTCACGATCGGGTTGAACACCTTCCACCTTGAACGATCCTTCTTCTTTAGCTTTCAATCACCTGCAATACGCTTGGGGGGGTCCCAGAGGAAAACCTTTCGACGCACAACTCAAAAGTCGCTCAACTGTGAATGTACAAAATATAGAGAATAAAGATGGATTATGTGATGTGTAATTAAAGAGAACATGTCGTCCTTTAATAGGACTTGATACTTTGGAACCGAATAGAATTCTTGTTAGGGAAAAAATCCATCGGGAGTCTACTTCCCTAACTTACCACGTCTCTATCTTGACAAGAGTCCTTAAGCGAGTGATTCTTTTCTTCTTACTTGGATTCTTCCCACCCCCCCACCCCCCTTTTACTGTTTTAGCCTGGAGATCTTTAAGTCGTAGGTCTGACCTCCAATACTGCTTGTTATGGCCCTTCTGAGGACGTCCTTGACCTTACCCTAAGTTCTAATTTGACCTTGCCTTTAGGTTTGTCTTGTCTCCAGGCCACCCGACCTCGATGCATACAGAGATCGGCTACCTTACCGGGATCCTGGAGGCCGGTACCTCCAGGTCGTGTCTTGTTTTATCATCTCGACACCCTTAACTTGTGTACGAGCTACTTGGCCGAACATCTTGTCTCTATACAAACGGGAGTTCTCTTAGGCCAGCTGTAGCCGAGCTACTTTCTCTCACCCTTAGATGCTTTTCATAGAAGATTGACGATCACCTTTACAGTCTGAATCGATAGCTGGCAAAACTGATGGCACTGTCCAATCTGTTACATCAGCCGTTGCATAGATACACATGGCGCCACCCTGCGCCCCTAGCTGACACATAACATTTAACGCTCCTTCACCTTTTTCGTGTATAAATATTGACCCCCGGTTCCCAAACGGAACACACATGATTTCAACCAACAACAGAAGACCATACATAGCGATACACTTACCATATTCGGTTGTATTCTTATCATACAGCTCTCAATAAACATCCCGGAAAACAATCTCATTACCGATCTCCACAACCGACCAACAATATTAGTGTCTCGTTTCTTTCTCTGCATTATTCATTTTTCTCAATTTGTTTGTATTCTTTCCTATTAAAATATATTATAAATATTTCGTAGCCCTCGATTAAACCATCTGAAACATACTTTCAGTAATAGTTGGCGGTCGACCACTATAATATGAGTTATTTAACATATTATTGTTTGTATGAGTGTTATTTTAAATAAAATTTATAATAAAATTTTAAATATTATTTGGAATTTGAAAATAACAACATTGACATTTGTTTTTGAAATTATATTTTAACTTTTACGTTTGTTTTTAATATTCTTTAAAATATATATTTTTAAGTCAATATTGTATTGCAATAATATTTGATTAAGTGTCCGCAAAATTAGTTTTGTAAATTTGGAGTCCTAATGCATAATATTTATTAATGTCCATCTTAAAGGTCTGAATTTGAATCATCATACTTATCATAGACTTAATAGTTAATACTTGGATTTATCCTCTTATTTCATCCAATCAAATAACCAAATAATCTATTACTATATAATACGGAGAAGAAAAATTATTTGAACAATCCGAAAAAAATCATTTCGTTTTCCCGCTTCAATATAGTGTTTTTCCCGCTTCTTCAATTCGTAAAATTTTTTTTTAAAATTTTTCAGCCCATGCAATTAGGTAACCAATCAAATCGAATCTTTTAGCATTCAATTTGGTAAGGTGTTTCGATTTTAGCATTCAAATCCGATTTCACTTCCTTTTTTTATGCCAATCAATCCGATTGTTTTGGTTGTTTCAAAATTTGTTTAGATTTATATTTTTATTTTATTAATATATTTGAAAGAGAATCAATAAATGTTTATCATAACTTTTATTTTAAAAATAAATTTGAATAAGCATACCTTTTACTTTATATGAAATTCAAAATTACATATTTCAATATATTAATATACGTTTATTATTTATTTTTTCCTTATGTGATATAATAGAATTTCGGTATTAAATTTGTAAATTCAAACATTTAAAGGAAAAGATTTCAAACAATTTTTTTGGGTAAATTTCATCTTATCTTGGTTTTCATTATCACATTTCTAACAAACTAATTACTATTATATTTTTTTATCTACATTATCTAACCGATTTTTTATGATACAATTAATATAATATCTTAACAAATTAATCATTTGTCTAATCGGATTTATCTCTCTAACAAACTTGCCAATTTTTTTATAATTAAAATGGTATGATTATTTTATGGAGATACTTATCAATATATTAAATATTTAGAAACTTTTTTTAAAAAATGAGTTATCCCTCCTTTTACTTTATTTGAAATTGTGACTTATATTTTTAAATATATTATTATTTATTTTTTTACATGTAAATATTTATTATTTATTATCTAAGTGATAAATATTATTGATTTATCTCTTTAATCAATATTTATTATTTATTGTTTTCCTTTCGTGATATAATTTAAATTTGGTTACTAGATTTTTAAATTCAAACATTTAAAGAAAAAAACCACGAACAATTTTTTTTGTTACATTTCATTTTATTTTAACTTCCATATAATCACAATCCTAACAAACTAATTAGTATAATATTTTTTTACCCATTTTTATATAATCGGATTTCTTAAAATATAATTAATATAACATTTCAATTATTTAACCATTTGTATAACTTGATTTAACTCATTATCAAACTTGCCAAATTTTTTTTGAAATTAAAAGAAAATTGGAAGATTTTTATTTGTAAATAATAAAAAAAATAGCTTTACTTTAAAGTCTGGATTATTTTCATTATTTTTTGTACGTTAACAATCATATATTTTGGATTATTGATTTAAAAAAAAATCAAAACCGTAAGGTTTAATAATATTCCTTAAATAAAAAATATTGTATAAAGAAAAGTATTTAATAATATATATTTTTCATTGATTGTATTTATTTTAATTTCATAATAGACGAGATGTGAAAAATATAAATAATTATATTTAAAATAAAGTCTAAAAAATGTTTAAAATATGAACTCTTCCGTCCATCGCACGGGATATACACTAGTATATAATATAGCTAAAAAAATTTATGAGGCGCCAGAATGGGAAAAAATTAGCGGGAGAAGTTTTTTGACGAAAATTTTTGGGCTTTTTGTAAGTGAGGGGCTAGGTTTTCCAGCAGAATCACCGGATGAGGGGAGAAAGAAAGAACGACGAGCAAATGCAATTCTCAATTTATTTGGCCCCAAAGAAACCTTTGCTCTCGCTCTCACGCCCTCTCCCATAAATGGTAAGATACTTGGTTTATGTTCAGCCGACTCTGACCCATTTTCTTTTTGTTTTCCATTTGTTACTCTTTTGGCCGTATTGTGTAGTAAAAATGGAAAACGAGGAATTCGACTTCTATTCGAGGTTTGTCATAAGATGTGGGACGTCTCCATGTAATCTGTCTTTAGATCTGATAAATGTTCATTGGTAAATGCTGTTATCTCAAATTATTTTGAAAAATTTATTCATTGTAGCTACTTTCATTTATAGGTTTTGGATGTGTGAGTGTTTAAATCATGGCTTAATTATTCGTGAGTTTCTCGTCGGTGGAATGCTAATGTTCTCTGTTGTTTGCTACTATGAGTTATGTGTTAATCTATGTTTGAAATCTTGGATACTTATTTGTATATTTGAAGTATAGTGTTTCAAATGCTTGAACATGTCTGATAATATAATAAACTCGTTTGAAATTCTAATGCATCAATATATTCCTTGTATTTGGCTTGAAAAATTACTTTTACTATGAACAATTTAGAACTCAATATATATGCACTGAGAAAATCCTTGTGAGTATAGGTTGCAATAAACCTAAGGGATCTTACAAACAATTTATCTACAATGGTGTTATGGGCATTTTAGTGAAGAATGATAGATGAGTAACAAAAAATCAGCTTGTGTGGGGCACTTTTAGTGAGTAATCTGCATTTATTGAGGCTATGTTTAAATCCAATAGATGCATCTTATCAAATGTCTATGAGTCTAGTTTCAAATAAAAATGGAGCTAAAAAATGATTTTGTTTACAATGAGTCATGGGCAGTTTTATAAAGAATGGTAGATGAGAAACAAAAACTGCATGCTTCGGGACTTTTAGTGAATAAGTTGCTTTTAAATGTGGCTATATTTGAATCCATTCTATACATCATGTGAAATTCCTATGAGTATAGTTTCCAGCAAAAGAAAAGGAGCTCAGAATGAACTTACTACAATGAGTTATGGTCAGGCATTTAAATGATGTGTGAGGAACAAAAATCTTTGTGCTCATATAATGAATAAACTGCTTTTAATGTTTAATGCAATATATGTATGTCATGTGAAACTCCTATGAGTTGTTTCCAACAAAAAGTTTGAAGTTGAAAATAATAATCATTCAATGAATTATTGAAATCTACTCATGTGTGGTTGGATGGTAGCCTAGTTAGTAGCTTGTGAATTTGAACATATTCATGACCTATCCTTGTTATACTCACATTTTCACTTTATGATCTCATCATTTATTTATTGTTTGGATTCTTAAAGGGTCTAGATCCTGAGATTTTCATGTGAATTAGGAAGATGATTCTACTCACCGTGCTTCTGCCTAGAATAGTGCGTGTTTTGCTTTTCTATCAAATAAGTAAAATACAAGCTTTGATTTGTGCAATAGAATCTACGGTTTTATTTAAGCTGTGATCATACCACTATTATGTATCTAAATGTTCCATTATCTTTTATATTGACTAAAGGTGAGGTAGAACACGAAAGATAATATTTAGCCTTTTACTAATTTATTCATTCTATTGTTATCCCTTTGTTTTTTCCAATGCTTTAATTTATGAATTGGTTGTAATATCAATTTCATTGTTATTTGTATTCTAGCCTGTAAGGATGTCCAAGAGAATTGTTCGGTTAAAGATGAAGTCGAGAATAGGGATAACGTGGAACAGTGGAAGAGGAATAAGCATAAGCAAGATGGTGTTATGATGCCTTTTTAGCTCTCGATTGAGATGAGTATACTTGATTTTATGTCTGAAAAATTAAAAAAATTTACATGTATAGCCATATTATGCTTTATTTTGGCTACTTTGTATGTATTTATAAGAGTGTTTGTTCCTATATTACATGTAATAGTTTTGTATCTATGGATTGGTGAATCAAACATTTTTAGCACCATGTTATTTTACATTCATTTGAGTTATTATGATTGAACTTCAATATAGATCACAATTTGAAGTAATTTATTGCTTTAATGACACTTTTGAAATAATTTTTAATGACAACAAATGTGAATAGCAATTTATGAATTGAAACATTTTGATAATTCAATATAATCATAATTTATTATTAAAAAAAGGTTCCACTACACAAGAAATAGGCATGACAAAAGTTGTGCTTATTACAGGGAATAGGCATGACAAAAGTCGTGTCTAGTACTTTTGCATTATAGCAACGATTTTAGTGTGTCAATATGTCTATAGACACACGTCTATTGGCACGACATATTTGCAACGACATTTCATTACAACTAGTACAGTACCCGTGCGATGCACGGGATGGTATATTTTCCTGAAATGTTTAACGTGTGAAATATTGAAAATAATATAATTTATATATATGTAATAAAAATAAATGGATTGCAAAGAAGGAAAAAAAATATAAATTATTGAACACTTTCTTTGTGAAGTAAAATTTGTGAAGGTTTGGTATATTTGATTATGAATAGAAAAGTATGAAATACTACCTGCGGACCGTTGAGATACATGAGAAGATTTACTTAGAATATATAGAATAAATATTGAGATAATGATTTACCTTTTACCTAGTATAGATAAAATAAATATTGACATGATGTGGGAAAATTATGACGAATTATGACATAAATTCGTTTAGAAAATATTCAAAAATTAGATTTATTTTTTATTTTTTAAATCTTTACAGTAATTCGTACGTTCCTTTTCATACGCTTAATTTATCAATTTTACACATACAAATCAAAATTAATGCAACTCGAAATATTATATAACAAATAAAATGAGATTTTTATCTAACATTTAGTATATTGCCGGAAAATTTTTTATAAATCTTATTCTCTTTTTATGCACATAGATATTAAAGAATGAGTAAAAAAAATATCTAAATATGTTTAAAAGTATCTAATATTATATGTGTTAACAGTGTTACAACCAAAAGACATTAAGAATACGCAGACTATTATATAACATATGTGAAAGTATTAAAATATTTTATATTATTATTGAAAAATGTGAAATTACCTCAATTTTGTCTAGACTATTTTATAAGAAAAATATATATACTTAAAGTTAGCACACACATATATATATATCCTTAAAATTTGCCCAACTAACATGTTTAAAAGTATATAAAATTTTATATATAAAATACGTTTAAAGTTTACATATTTTACAAAAATTAGACTGCTCTCAGTTTATATAAAGTTTGTTGCTCTCATATTCGGATAATGTATTATGCATTTAATGAAAGCACCTACGATACAAATTTATAAATATTAATTAAAATAATTTTCTAAATTATATAAAATTGAAATAACAAAGGTAAATATTACCTGTTCATCGTGAAAATGCGTTACAGCTCTCCCGTTCGTGATGGGTTTCAATAATGCGGACTGCTCTCAGACACAAAAAAGGTTTGTTATAAATATTAATTAAAATAATTTTCTAAATTATATAAAATTGAAATAACAAAGGTAAATATTACCTGTTCATCATGAAAATGCGTTACAACTCTCCTGTTCGTGATGGTTTCAATAATGCGGACTGCTCTCAGACGCAAAAAAGGTTTGTTATAAATATTAATTAAAATAATTTTTCTAAATATATAAAATTAAAATAAAAAAGGTAAATATTACCTGTTCATCATGAAAATGCGTTATAGCTCTCCCGTTCGTGATGGGTTTCAATAATGCGGACGGCTCTCAAACGCAAAAAAAGGTTTGTTTCTTTTGTTAACGTACCCAGTCTGGAAGCATTATATATCAAGTTTACCCCAGCCTGGAAGCATTATATTGTATATGCGATGAAAAATTATTCTCTGTATTTTTTTTTTCTCTGAACTCGTGAATGATGAGTTGTAATGGTGGTAGTGAATATCCTTTTATACAATTTTTTATTAACAAAAGTGATAAGATAATTATGGATTGTATTTGGATAGATTTTAAATACCATGATTTTTGGGATGGAACAACAAAATATGCAATCACATGTATATATCTTATCACGTTAAAGGTATATCCATCCCTAAAAAACAGGAAAAAAAAAAACCATATATTTTGAAAGGATTTTTAAATTAGTTTCTACAAATGGAAAGTCAATGGGGTTGTTGACCAATTTTTTAAAAGTTTTCACAAATGATTTATTGACCCCTCTTTTTCAATATATATAGATACATCAATAGCCACAATTTTGATGGTTTTAGGCACAATATTTAGTTGTTCCTACTAACCATGTTTCTTGTAGTGATAATAATAGTATATATGCACATTCTATGTTTTAGACATTTATTTCCATTTTGTAGATCCGCCGGAATTTAGGTGACTGTTTTAGACATTTATTTCCATTTTGGACTTTTTGCACATTCTATGTTTTAGACATTTATTTCCATTTTGTAGATCCGCCGGAATTTGGGCGACTGTTTTAGACATTTATTTCCATTTTGGACTTTTTTGCATGAAAAAAGAATATATCAGCCACATGCATGCATGAAGATCATTGGCCAAAAATAGATTTTTTCGAGTATTGACATGGACTGAGATTGGAGATTCGTGTGGTTATGGACATGAGTCGTATTTTCACTTTTTTCGGTTGAAATAAATCCTAATAAACAATAATCATATTTCGCAAAAAGTTGAATTTTAAAGGACGTTGTTGTTACCAAAACATCAAAATACAATGTAGAATGATAATTTTTTATCTATCAGGTTAATAAAATGTAAAATATGTAAATGATTCTAGCATCAATTATGACATAAAGAAATTTTACTAAGATCGTGGGTGGAAGCACTATATAATTAAATCAATTTAATTTTGCACATATTGCAATTAAAAATCAAGAAATTTTATGAACCCTGAACTAGCGAGGTTATTAGTGCGAGCAAGATTTGTAATATTCGTGAAAAATAAGGAAAATTACAATTTCAATCCATTAATGTTGATTGTTTTTATTTTTGTTTACTAACTCTTTAGCTTGCTATATGGTACATCAACTTTTATTTTGTGTAAACTTCGTAAGAATAGAAGGATAATATTGTAAATTAAATTTTCCTTTGATTACAAACGCAAATACTAAAATAAGTTAAGTGGTTTTGTCAACGGAACAAAGAAGAACAAAATAAGAAGTCATTCGTTAATTTGAGGGTGTATTCAATTAAGATTTCAAGTGATATTTTGAGACTTCTTAAAATTTGGGATTTGTCATGATTTCCAGATTTTGGAGAAATTCCGTGAAATCCTATGTTTGGGGGTAGAATTTGAAGCAGGATTTCGTGTAAGGTTTTTTGTTTAAAAATTCCACCAAATCTTAAAAAACTATTAACAAATCCTAGTATCAAATAAATTAAATACCTCCAGATTTTGTAAGACATTTTAAAATCACAATTGAATACCCCAGGATCTTTAAAAATGTTAAAAAATCTAAATTGAATACACCAAGATTTCTAAATCTTAAAAAGTATTTAGAAATTTTAATTGAATGCACCCTAATTAATTTGTGCTAGAGGTTGGCCGTAAATTGGCCGTTTAAGTCAACGACGACCAAATTGCGATAGAATTTTTCTCCCAATAAGTTGTAACTTCAATGTTAGATTTCCCAGCTATTTACACTCGCGATCCTTTATCTAAAGATAACATTTGAAACTTCATAAAATAATCTATTTAGAAAGGTAGAGTTTGTAAGGATCCGGCTGTGGAATCTCCAACATAGATACTACAATTTGAAAGTTTTAAAGAAACTTACAAAATACCAAAAAATGAAGATTGTACAAAGCTAACAGAAAAATTAAAATTTATTGTATAACATTAAAACCCCAAAGGATTATCAAATGAANATTATATCAAATTGCAATCCTAAAATATTTGTTGATTACAACCGTAAACATCTAAAATTTGGTGTGTAAAAATATTGCATCACCCCCAAATATAACATATTGCTTAATATATATAAACGTGAAATTTGCACAGCACCATCAATTTTCAACACACGTGAACGAAAATCCCAATAAGTGTGCAATTTTGAGGTGGAGTACAAAGGGGGATGGATATGGATTAAATTGATTATCATCCTAGGTGGTGAATAAATGTGAGTTATTTTGAAAAATAAATTTGAAATAAAATAATATTTAAAATATAATGATTAAAGTTGATATGAGGTAAAAGTAAGAGAGAGATTATATATAATAAGTAATAATTAGTTAAAATTATGTGAGTATACTTGAATAGTACTGAATTAAAGTTGATGTGAAAAGTGAAAATGATTCATTAATATTATTAATTTATATTTATAAAAAATAGGATATCTCCTTTCTTTATGACTTCACTTTGTTTCGCTTCTAAAGTAAGATATGGTCGAGCTCAGTTAGATAGTCCACCCCAGAACTTAAATTGGAAGTCTTGGAATTTCTTATTTCGGTTGTAGCGCGAGTTGAGTTAGATTTTGAATTAAGTGATTAGATATAAAATGAATTAATCGATCAAAACCGATTAGAACCGGTTATGATCGATATCCAATCACGGTCAAAGTATTTTTATTTTGAAGGACGGTATGAAGTTCTCCTATAAAAACCTGAGCAATGTTTATTGTGGCTGGCCAAAATTTGGATTACTCGAAATATAAAGGCAAACCAGAATCATGTGGAGATTAAAGATTGCAGAAGGGGTTGACAGCCCTTATCTCCATAGCACCAACAACTATGTGGGCCGGCAAACTTGGGAGTTCGACCCGGATTACGGCACGCCGGAGCTCCGGGAAGAGGTCGAGAAGGCCCGTCAAGACTTCTTGGCCAACCGACACCGGGTCAAGCCCTGTAGCGACCTCCTCTGGCGGATTCAGGTTTACAATTTAGAGTTTTGTCATTTTTAAGTAACTAATATATACACATCTCTCGTGCGATGCTAAGATATATTATTATGGAAAAAATTATAAACTATATGAGTCGATAACAAATAATACAGTTTATCCTTGGCTAAAAGTGAGATAACTTTATTTGTTTCACATGTAATAAAGATTTTGAATTTCCACATATTTTGATTTCTGCACCCTGATAAAAAAAAAGTGATAAACATAAACCTTTGGACATAGGTAATGGCTACAAAATTATAACTCAATTTTTTTTTTCACCTGTTTATATATTAACTAGTATTCAATCATATGCATGTACACATGTACAAATGCAAATAAGATATTATAAATTAGATGTATTGATATTATATTTGAAATATCATAAGTTAAATAATGGACATATATATTTCAATTTCATAATTTTTTTTTTATGTACAAATTGTCTCTGGACCAGATTTTAGATCGGTGGTGTCACAAACCATCCTTCGACTCGAATTTCAGTGACAAGCAAACGCGCAGTGAGGCGTCACGACGGAAAAACCTCTGAGCCTCAAGCTCGTTGATTATAAACTGGGATGTGAAAATATATTGCACGTTAGTTGTAAAAGAACCTGGTAACCTCCATTTATAAGGATGATGTCTTCATGCCCATGCAACCTCATTACTAGGAAAGAGTTTTCTATATCTCGTTTCCTAGTATGACACGTTTCCGAGATTTCCTATTTCTCAACGAGATACACTTACCATCTTAAATGTTTCCTTCTATAGTATGGTTTCTCATGTCCTAATTAGGTCGTCGTAACGACCTGATATTCCACACTAGGTCGCTTCATGACCTCCAGTAACCCACCTACATGTCGTGACAATCCCTTCATGTGGTCGAGCTCTCTGATGAGCTCCGGTCTCTACCTAACAATCAGAGCCAACCCATACCTCCCATACCTCGAGCTACTACACCGAGCTCCTTGGCGAAGTCAGACCTTGTTACCGAGCTAAAGCCATCCTGGACCAGTTAACTCGAGCTAACCACTCTAACCTGTTCACCGAGCTATTATTGGTGTTATATCACATTTGATTATTAATAAAAATAAATAATATAATTATAAAATATTTACTTATATATGAATTGCTATATAGATTGCACAAAATTGAATGAATAATATAAATTTTATATATTTAAGGTATCGTGACTAATTAACACTTCGCTTCATTTGTATGGCCCCTTCCGAAGGAACATCGAAAAAAGATAGCGAAAAAAATTATCCCTAGAGTCGAAACTAAAAGGAATGTATAAACCAATGCTTCCATAAATTTGATCGCGGATTAAATAGAAAATATTAAAATTATTGTTTTAGTTGTTTACCTAATTAAATAAATAATACTAATAATAATAATAATAATAATAATAATAATTATAAATTATTATTATTATTATTATTATTATTATTATTATTATTATGATAGAACAGTTAAAAATACTATTATCCTTTCCCGCCCCTCATATATCAATTCACAACGTGTTGAGCCTAAGTGGCACGCTCGCACGCTTTAAATGCTGACTTGACAAAATTATGCGCTTCATAATTTAGTTTGTATATACATTATTGCTATAAAATCAGGTTTGATATTTTCAAAAATAATTTATTGCAATTTTGACAAGTATGCATTTATTTTTGTCTTTCCCAAATCAAATCATACCATACGAAATTGATATTAGTTATTTTTATTTATCAAATTCCATATTTTCTATAATATTTTAAAAGTTAATAATTTTTTATTTATATTTAACTTTTAAATAAAATTTATCAAATTAATTATCTTTTGACAGTGTTCGATTTGACATTCATATCATATATATAAATTTGAAATTAATTTCATCTACATTTACAAAAAAAAATTGTTTGTTATATCAAATTAAAAAACACAAATGGTGTTATACATGATTTTTGCCGATCTGAATTAATTCGTAGTAGCTATCCCGTAGGCCGGTTCCGTCAACACAAATTATTTCACACGAGTCGTATGATCAAAAAAGGCTATAGGTGTCCATGTCAATCTCTGAAGTGTGTCACAGTGTCAGTCGCAATAAGAGGGATCGTAACTGCCAATCCCACCTAAATCGTCACTGCCGATCCCCCAGAATTGCCACCTTAATTTTTCAGCAGCAGCCAACCAGAACTTTTTGTGCTCAATCAGAGCCTTGCCATGTTGCTGCAACCTCATTTTTTGTGCTCCATCGTCTCGCCAATCGGATCTTTCGGCTTCCATTCGGACTATTCCGGGAAAAATCACTACTTCCCCTTCAATTTCCGGCGCCGTCCGTGCACCTTCACTAAATTGCTTGTCTATCCTTTTTCCTCACCTCAAGACGATTTCAGCACCCTCGACCGCGTTGATTCTCTGATGAGCCCATTTCGTCGTCCTCCGTGAGCTATTTTCCGTCTAAGTCTTCCGCAGTTCCACCTCCGAATGCCTATCCGTGGCGGTATTCTGCCACTCAGCTTTACCGGTCATTAGCAGCATCACAAATGCCCCAATTTCATACTTTCAGGTTGAGTTTGAGTGAGTCCCGACTTCAAGAAACAATTTTGTGAGACTTATGCCTAAAAATTTGTCTATTATATGTTCTTTGCCCAATCTTTTTAGGTTTGTGTTGTTTTTCCTTCCTTTTGTTTATGTTGATTGAAGATTGATGAATGGAATTGGAGAGTCTAGCTGCTGTGTATGGTGTGGGTCACCCATTTACACTAATGTCATCATTGAACTGAAATTGCAGTTCTTGCATGAAAAGAATTTCAGACAGACAATACCTCAATTTAAGGTGGCCGAAGGCCAAGATATAACCTACGAGGCGGCCACCACCGCACTCCGGCGAGCTGTCCATTTCTTCTCAGCCCTGCAAGCGAGCGACGGCCACTGGCCAGCAGAAAATGCTGGCCCATTGTTCTTTCTTCCACCTATGGTGAACTGTTTTTCCACTTGTAATCCTTTTCATTAAGGAAATCTAAAAACTTGGGATATATAAATATGTTTTATGCTAAAACAAACCAATGCAGGTTATGATTCTGTACATTACTGGCCACCTCAACTCTGTTTTATCAGCAGAGCATCGTCGAGAGATTCTACGATACATTTATTGTCATCAGGTGCATTATCGATCTCTGCTCGATAATCTATTTTCTAATACAAATGAAATGTTCAATCTTTGGTACATCTATGTCTTGAATTATGTATTAAATTAGTCAGTTAATGACCGATATTGTGAAATAAAACAGAATGAAGATGGTGGGTGGGGTTTACACGTTGAAGGCCACAGCACGATGTTCTGTACAGCCCTTAACTATATCTGTATGCGTATATTAGGGGAAGTGCCAGAAAACAATAATGCGTGCGCTCGATCAAGAAAATGGATACTCGATCATGGGACCGTGAAAGCAATACCTTCCTGGGGAAAGACTTGGCTTTCGGTAACATGTCGATTAATAGAGATAATTGTTCCTACTTTCCAATTATAGATGAAGTGTAAGAGGATTTTGGTCTTGTGTTTATAGATATTGGGCGTGCTCGACTGGTCGGGATGCAACCCGATGCCCCCTGAATTTTGGCTTCTGCCGTCTTTTTTCCCCGTGAATCCAGGTCAACCACTTGCTTTCAAGTTGGTTATAACTTACTAAGTGAGTGTGATTGCAAATAAATAATTAAAAAAAAAAAAAAAAAGATCTGTTTTTAACTGGAAAACTTGGATTTAAAAGTGTCTCTGACTCCAAAGTTGATATAGTTTGCAAACAAAGCTTTGGAATGTTAAAGAGAGTGTAATATTCAAACTAGGAGTGGAACCCGAAGCAGAAACGACATTTTAAAGCGATCAAAACTATTTCTCTTTTCAATCAAAAAGACTAACAACATGTAACTAAACGATAACAATCAAATTGCAGGATCAATGTGGTGTTATTGCCGAATGACGTACATGACAATGTCCTACTTATACGGCAAGAGATTTGTAGGTCCAATTACTCCTTTTATTTTACAGCTAAGAGAGGAGTTGTATAGTGAGCCTTACGAAGAAATTAATTGGAGGAGTGTTCGTCACCTATGTGCAGAGGTGAAATTTTTGTCGTAAATACCTCTATTTGTATCATGTTAACAATTTTTTTTTAGTCAATGCTAGAAATGTACTCAAATACACAGGAGGATCTGTATTATCCTCATCCATGGATACAAGATTTGATGTGGGAAAGTTGTTATTCATTAGCCGAGCCCCTATTGACCCGTTGGCCTCTCAACAAGTTGAGGGAAAAAGCTCTTCGAGTCACAATGAAACATATCCATTATGAAGATGAAAGCAGCCGATATATAAACATCGGATGTGTTGAGAAAGTACTGTCCATGTTGGCATGTTGGGTCGAGGACCCCAACGGTGATCATTTCAAGAAACATCTCGCGAGACTTCCCGATTACTTATGGGTTTCTGAAGATGGCATGAAAATGCAGGTAACTTATGAAATTTTTTTGAAAGATGATTGATTATATGTATGATTCAAAAAGAAAAAAAAAATGCAGAGTTTTGGCAGTCAATCGTGGGATACGAGTTTCGCCATACAAGCTCTGCTGGCTAGTGATCTTACTAGTGAAATAGCCAACATTCTCAAGAGAGGGCACGACTATATAAAAAAGTCTCAGGTTGTGAACATGCGGATGAACTATATTGGTTTAGCCAGATTTTGGTAGGAAATAAATACTCAAATTAGTTAGATTTTCAGGTCAAAGAAGATCCTTTGGGTGACTTTAGAAGTATGTACCGCCATATTTCAAAGGGGTCGTGGACATTTTCAGACCAAGACCATGGATGGCAAATTTCTGACGGTACTGCTGAAGGGCTGAAGGTATTCATCATCCATGTGCATATATAGACAAGTGTCATTTACATACCCGAAAAAAAAAAAAAACAAAAAGTTAACAAATTAATATTTTATATTTTTTTTTCACAGTGTTGCCTTCTCTTGTCTATGTTGCCTCCTGAAATAGTTGGAGAGAAAATGGAAACCGATGGACTCTACAATGCTGTCAACGTAATACTTTCTTTGCAGGTAGAAACTCATTCTTTATCTTTACATTTTCTTCCTAAAATCATTACATAAATAAGCATTCTTGCAGAGCAAAAATGGTGGTGTGAGTGGATGGGAGCCTACACGAGCATGGAAGTGGTTGGAGGTTAGCTCCATCTCCTTAAAAAATTAATTTAAAAAAAAAACAAATTCGTGACGGCCCTTTCCTCCATATTATTTAAATTTCATATATATTTGTTTTGAAAAAAATTCATGCAGCTGTTGAACCCTATGGAGTTTCTAGCCAATATCGTCATCGAGCATGTGTATGACCCATTCCAATATGCATTATTTTCGCACCTTATCTTTACTACGATTTATTTATTGATTTATTTATTTTACTACGATTTATTTATTGATTGATTTATTTGATTTGGATAGGTATGTGGAGATCACTTCATCGGTAATCCAAGCGTTGGTTCTGTTTAAGAAGTTTTACCCATTGCACAGAAAGGAAGAAGTCGAAGTCTTTATCAGAAAAGCCGTGTCCTTCCTGGAAGATATCCAAAATTCGGATGGTTCTTGGTATATTACCTTAATATTTGAAGTCTTTTCACCTTAATATTTGAAGTCTTTGTAACAAAGCATTGCGTTTATATAGGTACGGAGAGTGGGGAAGTTGCTTTACTTACGGTGCATGGTTTGCACTGGGAGGGCTTACAGCAGCTGGTAAGAGCTATAGCAATTGTAGTGCCATTCGAAAAGGAGTCGATTTTCTGCTAAAATCACAAGCTGGTGATGGTGGGTGGGGTGAAAGCTATCTATCCTGCCCAAAGAAGGTAAAAGATCTTCTTGTTTTAATTTTTAATCTTTCACGTTGAAATTCGTTAGTCTTGTACTAGTTTGAGAGTGACTAAGAAATTTGTCGAGCCCGTTTCAAGGTATATGTGCCGCTTGAAGGAAACCGGTCGAACTTGGTTCAAACTGCATGGGCAATGATGGGCTTAATTCACTGTGGCCAGGTTAGTTTAATTGCTATATTAGCAGTATTTTAAGGAATGTGTGTGGTATATATGTATTATAAGTGTATCTCATAGTATTTTAATCTCAGACTATTTTGTAAACGGCACAGGGTAATAGAGACCCAACACCCCTTCACCGGGCAGCAAAGCTTCTGATCAACTCTCAACTGGAAAACGGTGATTTTCCTCAGCAGGTATACTTATTAACTGTGAGATTTTTTTCGCTTCAAACTACGCGAGCTTGATTGTGTTTGATTGATCTGTCTGTACCTTTTGGAACTTGTCTCAGAAAAAAACAGTTAAACCGATTTCAAACGTTTGTTCTTCAAATTCGAGAAAATTCGTATCAGTTTAAATATCACTGACCGCCTTGATTTGCATTAGGTGGATACAAATTATAAAAATGGTGTTTTTTGTTAATTTCATTTGCAGGGAATGACAGGGGTTTTCAAGGAAAATTGCATGTTACACTATGCATTATACAGGAACATATTCCCAATTTGGGCTCTTGCTGATTATCGCAGATGTATTTCACCCTCATATGTTGGTTTTGCGCTCTAAGAGCTATCTAATAGCAAAGGCATTATCAGGTTATGCTATATGTATTTGTGGAATAAATTGATCGTTTCTTTCTTATACTGTATGATCATGTAAACATGTTATGCTATATGTATTTGTGTATTTATTGTGCGACTCTTATTCTCCTTTTTAGGAATTTTTATTCTTTACTTGTGGGGGTTGTGTAGTTTATTGTATTGTGCTGTATTGTATTCTCTCCTTTGTGTAGTCCTACCTAGGCTATCTTTGTGCAGTCATCTCACTAAGTTCAGTTGTGTGTCTGCTTAGCTATTTCTGGCTGTTGTCTAGATGTAAATATGTATTGTTTTTAATAAAATCTATCGTTCAACAATAACAAGCCGTTAAAATTCCACTAAGTGGGATCGGCTATATGGATCGCATGTTGTCATCGTGCTCGATCAAAACACATATCTTCATTCAAATTAAATATTTAAATAATATTTTATTATTTTCTTTTAAGTTTTTTTAGGTATACCCCTGCTCCTTTTAATTTGCGTTCTTAATTCTCATGTTTCTACCATACTCACCAGTGCCTCGAAGTCTCTCCTACACGCATGCTTAAACCATTTTAATCGCGATTCTCTCATTTTCTTCTCTATTGATGCTACCTCAACTTTATTTCTAATACTTTCATTTCTAATCTTATTTAACCTAGTATGTCAACACATCAATCTCAACATTCTTATCTCTGTCACTCGCATTTTTTGACCAATTTCATATTTAGTAGCCCAACACTCAGATCCATAAAGCATCGTCGGTCGAATTGTCGTTCAACAGAACTTGCCTTTCTCACTGGTACTTTACGATCACAAAGTATCGACAACGAGCTCTTCCACTTGTTCCATTCCTATTGAATTCTATGTGTTACATCCTTATCTATGTTGCCATTATCTTCTAGAATAGATCTTAAATATTTAGAACTTTTAGATGTGTTCAATTCGTGTTTCTCAATTTTAACCTTTACAACATTATTACTCCTTTGATTACTAAAATTACATTCCATATATTCCGTTTTGACCCTACTTACTGTGAAAACTTGGATTCAAGCACCGCTCTCCATGTTTCTAACTTAGCATTTACTCTCGTCTCATATATTAACACTATGCCATCTACAAACAACATGCAATCAGTGATATCCAATTGCAATGACATAAGAAAAGTCTTGAGAGTAGTAAACCATGTTCCGAGAGCCTGCTTGAAACCGTAGAGAGACCTTATCCACTTACAAACCTCTCAGGTTGAGACATATAAGTAGTTTCAAGTAAAGTACCATTAAATCTTATAAAGACATTGTTGGTGTCAAGTTGTTGAACTGACCAATTATAAGTGATAACCAGAGAGAAAACTAATATGAGGTTTTTGTTTGATTCTAATTAATTTGTTCTGAATCCAGGTGCCATTGGATACAATTAGAGCCTGGAATTGGACTTCTTTAGATAATTGTTGATGATAGTGGAACACATTTGTGGTATTCAGCCAGAGCCCAAATTGGAAATATGTTCCTGCATAATGTAACATGCAATTTTCTTTGAAAACTCCTGTAATTTTCTGCAAATAATTAAGTTATAAAAAGTAAAAACAAACGGTTAGAACTAGCTTCAATATTCTTGAATTTAATAACATATTTGAAGTTGGTTTAATAGTTTGAGCCGTCATGATTCGATTGTATAGAATACGTGGTATGTGAATATCAAAAAGACGGCTTAAGAAGAATGAAGAAAACAAAACAAATATCAAAGTCGAGGCACGTAATAATTATGTTCTCCTTAAGACGAAATTGTCCCGTAAAATACCCACGGTTAAAAATGCCTCCAAGATACAACAACTTTCGACTTGTATATAGCGGTACTTCAAATATACAAGCCTTCAGCGAACAATACTATTGTTTGGAACTCTCAAGACTCAACGAAAAAATCAAAGAACACAATATGCTTTATAAACTTTGGAAATAAAATGCAAGAACTCTTGAAATTTGATGTGTGAAACTATTTCATTTCATGGGAATTTATAGTTGTTCTAATACATCTCCAGAGGGTTCAAGGCATCAAAAGATACCTTTTGGAACGTGCCCGGAATTTAGTTCTGTTTTTTCCTACTCGTCTCCAACGAGCCCCTCTACAATTCTAGCATACATAATGCATGATTATGGCTCGTTTAGTTTGTCCAAGCATTTGTCGAAAGAGAATGTTTGTGAACCCTACAACCTTTGAGTTACTTAAACTCGATTATTCAACATATAACCCTTAGAATTAATGTATCATTCACCTTAAAATGGTTTTGAGAATTTCTTAATTCTTCCACTTAGAAAATGGAACTTTTAAATCGATACAAAACTAATTTTTTTTTACAACTACCTTATTTAATGCATAGTTTATTTGATTAGCATTTTGGTCGAAGATGATACCTTTGAAAAGGCGCAATATAAGAGTGTTAGAGCTATCCAAACAAACGTCAGTCCATACAAAGGTGGGCCGAGGAGAGGGCATTCCAGCTCAACCTTGCCTTGGCCACGGGTTGGTATATTTTAAGAAAAAAATTGTACTGTAACTAGTTGCACTAAACAAAATAAGATAAAATTTATTTCAAATTAACTTTTCGAAATACAATGCACTTCTGCTAAAAATAATAATCACGGTTCATCTTATAAAAATAAAAGCAGTATTAATATTGGTAGATTATGCTGATGTAATATTAAAAATAATTGTAAAAAAATAAATGTAAAGTTAACATTGAAGTCTATAGTATTATTTATACACTTCAATACACTCCAATTAATTACATAAAAATTAACTTGTGTAAAAGCATATAATATTTGTGACCCAAATGTTTTGATACAAGTCTAAAAATATCAAAATTATTATATACTATTCTCAAATTGTCTTAGACTTTATCAAGTTTTTTATATAATTCATCCTTTACATGCATACTTCACATCCATCATAATATATATCACTATATAAATAGCAGATTTTCCATCAAAATCATCAAAATTCAAACCACATAGTCTAAAATAACATTGTCTATTTATCTACAATATAACCTAAAACAGTAAATCTAAAACAGTCATATTTGTTAGATATGATAAGATGGCGTAAGTATATATGTTGAGAATTTGGTTTAAATTGTTGTTGTTTGTGGCGGAGTGATATGAGATTGCAGCCTTATGTCCCATGTTTGTTGCATTAGATTGTGGCCGGCGATTGTTTTTGTGAACAAAAATGGAGTAATCAATAAATCAATCTCGATTTACCCAATGATAACTAAAATCTGACATTGTGGCCGGCGATTGTTTTTGTGCACAAAAATGGAGTAATCAATAAATCAATCTCGATTTACCCAATGATAACTAAAATCTAACAATGCATTGTTAATGTACCATTTTAACCATGCTTTCTTTAATTTTAAACAAATACATCCTTATGTGGTCAATTAATTACAAAAATGACATCCTACCTAACACCATCAAAACTTACGAAAATTTCTTTTACTTTTTCGTTTATCCGTCCTCACAGAAGTGTATCTATTTTATTTTATATATATATTTTTATTTTGTGTTGTGTTCAATGACAGTAGTACTAAATATTTGTTTTTGCATATTTTGTGGAAGTTTAATTATCCCTTGGCTTTTGATTTACCTAGCCCTAAATTAAGATTTTTTGTTCTTTATTTTTTTTTTGTCTGTAGTGGTGATGGTAATTTTTGTGGTTTGGACACGCATTGGCCCATGCCTAGTGCTGTAAACGAACGGAACCGAACCGAGCATGGATTGTTCGAGCTCGTGTTCGTTATGCTCGAACATTGTTCGTGCTTGTTCGTTTATTTTTCGAGCAAAAAATCGTGTTCGAGTTCGTTCGTTTAGTTGTTCGTCAAAGTTCAAGTTCTTTCGTGTTCGAATAATTTAATACATAAACTTTTAAATATATTTGATTAACTCAAAATTTGTTCGTTCGAACTCGAAAATAAAATAATAAAATAAAAATATTTGTATATTTTAGATATTTCATTAAAAATATTATGTAAATATATAAAAAATAAATAAAATTATATTAATTTTTAGATTTTTTATTAAACATATTATGTAATTATATAAAAAATTGATTAAAATTATATTAAATTAATGTTCGCGAACATAATCGAACGTTCACGAACGAGTTCGTGTTCGTTCGATTATTAAATGAGCCTAATGTTCTGTTCGAACTTGGCTCGATTAACAAACGAACGAGCTTTTGTTAAACTCGAACGAGCTTTTGTTCGCGAACGTTCGGTTCGTATACAACTCTACCCATGCCCATGAACATTTTTTGTTGTTGTGTGTTTATTATAATTTTTATTTTCTTTTTGTATAGTAAATTAATTTAGAATATTTTATTTACGTACTTGGTTAGCCGGCATCATGTTTAATCCTTTCTTCTTGAATATGTTGCTCTATTTTTAATCCTTTCTTCTTGAATATGTTGCTCTATTTTTAATCCTTTCTTCTTGAATATGTTGCTCTATTTTTGGAAATATTACAAAATAACTTGTTCTGGTTGAAGACTTTGTGAATCTAATGAAGTGTGTTGCTCTGTGATATTGTCCATACAATACCCGTCTGTGCATACATCCATAAAAGCTGTGAAATAAGAAATGAAGCAGCAAAACCGAAAATAATGAAACATAATTCAAAGTCCAAAATATTTTAAAACTGTAAATTAAATTGTGTGCTGCTTATTGGATAAAAACAAAATCTGCAAACAAAATAAAAAATAATAATAAAGACATAAGAAGAAGTAGGATTGTCGTGTGTGTTGCAAAATATTTGTTGAACTTGTGTTTTTACGTGTCGCAGCGAAGCCAAACCTGAGCAGATAAGGCAACACACTCTTAAGATAGTTTAAATTATTAAAGGGTAAGTTAGTAATTGTATTAAATATCCTAACAATTATCCTAGTCAACAAATACACAACTCATTATGTCAAGAAAATCACTCACAATCGTGTGTCCTCAATATCAAGAAAATCACTCACAACCGAGGTAGAGGTTTACGTACTAGTTATATATATGCAAATAAGCTATCACATATATACTATAAGCAATTCAACAATAGTCTTAATACATTTTTTATTATTATTTCAATTAGCTATTAGCTATAATTTATCTAATATGATTACCTGTCAATTGTGATCAGCTATCCACTAATTAATATAATATTTTCTGCTCTCTTACTGTCAAACAACCCTATAAAACAAAATACAAAATTTTAGTTTATTAAATTAATAAAAAAAAATTATAAATCACTGCAGCCAAAAGTCATAATTTAAAAGGAAAAAGAAAAGATATAATATGAGATGATATGTGCCATAGTATTCATCCCAGCCATCCAATCAAAAAGGTAAAGAAATCTATTGATCAATGAAGATTTTTCAATAGGCCAAGATTTCCATTTTTCAATAGCTTGATAATCACACAGTCTAGCAAACAAATGAACACACACACTCACACACAAATGAACTATTCACAAACAAATCAACCCCAACAAAACAAACAATCAAACAAATACTAATAAATGTGGAAAAATAGAAAAATACTTTGGATTTTTCACACACACATCCTTTATGCAATGAGCAGCTTACAAACACACAGAACAACATTTTGTACAGTACTTGATTTCTCACAGCTCAATTATGTAGCAAAAATAACTGCAGAAAAAAATCCCAACATTTAATCTCTCTCAAGCACATCTTGACCATCCTTTAATCTTCTCATCAGAAATACCTCCTTGTGTGTATTCATCATCACCATATGAGCTCAAAAGGGACCCTTTGTTTTTTCACTAATTTACATGCCAAAATATCATCCTAGCACACTGTTCAACATTCAACATGATACACACATATATCAATGCTTAAGAGAAAAATATCTCATTTTTGCCAAAATGTAAATGATCAATAGACATAAATTCAAGAAACAATGAGAGCCTACATACCTCTTTGCAGACAGAATATATGTTTTCATGTTAAAGGGATATTTCCTTCTCAACCGACTCGATTGAAAAGGGAGTAGTGTGGCTTTTGTGATACTCCTCCTTCTTTCTCACTCTCAATAATGCCTCGAGAATTACAACCGAAACCAAAGTTATGCCGAGAAGAAATCCATAGCCTATTTTCCAAGCTTGCCCTGCACCAGCCACATGAATCCCGAGCACTATATTCACGGCTGCAAAGAAAAGGCAGAGTCTCCCTGACCAGCTATGGTAACTATTCCAATAACTCCGGTATTTACTGTCCGTGCTAGGCCGCGTGATAAAAGCAAACACCTGCAAACATACAAACGTAAAAATAAAAAATAATAAAAAAGTCAACATTTGGTTGAGAAGGCTTAAAGAATGGGATAAGATGAGTGACCTGGAGAATGGTGAGTGTGAATACGAAAATGCCGATGCCTTTGTGGGCCGGAATGAAAGCGTGAAGCTTGTGATCGAGTGATAGCCCGACAACTAAAGCAGCAACTCCTAGCAAGAAACCGATGAATTGAAATCCCAAGTGAAGGTAATACCAAAGGGGATCTTTGTGTTTGAGGTGTCTTGCTATAATTGCTCCTAATGGGAGGAAAAGACCCCATGCGAGTAGAGCTAGTGTCCCATGAGTTTTCCGGTTCTTGAAAAGGCTTGGAGACAAATCATCAACACCATTATCGGTTTTACCTGTAAAAAACAGAACAAAAATAGTCTAATCTTTAAATAGTTGAGGTTTAGATATGCAGATGAGACAAAAGATCAGATTTTTTGAGTAGTTTTTGAGTTACTAATGATTGGAAAGAGATCAGATGGCTCGAGACAGAGTTAAGTAGTTATGATTTTTTTCTTGTTTAAATCTAAATTTTTGATAAATAACAGAACCATATAAATGGACTGATCAAACTCGGCTCTAGGAATTCTTTACTATAAATACAAAAAAAAAAAAAGTAGATATTAAAAACCGACCTGACGAAAAATCAAAATAAATGGTCGTTTTGTCGTCATGAACGGTAAGATGGTGGTGGTGAGGAGTTTTCGTGCTGAACGCCAATAAAATCGGCTGAGTTTTGAGAGTTTTGTTGAATTTCAGCTGAAATGCCAAGTAAATCGAGGGACCTTGTAAAGCTACGTATGGTGGAGCATTCGTTAATGGCAGCTCTCCTTCACCGGATTTTATTTCCGAAGGTTTAAACCCTTTCACGTAAAACTGTCTTATTTTTCCATGGCCTTCGGAGTTTATCCACCCGACCATGCAGCTCGAGTTGATCATTCGCCCGTCTCTTGAAAATCCAATCCCGACCCATCCTGTTGTGTATATTGTCGAAAGCACAATCGTGATCTCGTTGTTTTTGGATTGGGAATACTGAAAAAATCGAGAGTTTCGAATTATTATAGTGTATTTAAGAAGAAAAATGTATATGCCAAAAGGAAAAATGAAGAACTTACTTACCCTCAACAGATACGAGTTCCAGAGTGGTTTGCAGATCATATTAGGTAAATTGTTGTACGGAAAAGGAATAAACGAAGTCAGATCAGAGTCACATTGCGCGGTATTAAATCCGGAATAATCTGCAGCAACACTCGAGATTGAGAAGAAACTCATCAAGACTGCAGCAAAAAAGATACAGCTCGATTTCAACAAGCCGAGCCCTGAAAATCGATCCATTGCCAGAGCGGAAAAAGAAAAATCTTTTTTTCTGCGTTTGGTTCCAAATGAGGGATAATAAGGAAGACAACTCTGTAAATTGGCTGTTTGGTGGAGAAAAAAGGGTTAGTTGATCATTATTATCATTATTATTTGTCTTGAGTTTGAAGATTGAGAGGTAGATGATGGTGGGGTTCTGAACTGTAGTTGGAGTTGGCTGGTGATCATCATTCCCGCCAAATTTCTTCAGTAGACAAGAAAGAAAAAGGACTCCCCAGCTGTTTTGTGTCTTTTCACTACCAACTTTATTTTTTGAGAAAATGAGTCTCATGTATTATATCTATATGAGTGTGTAAATATACAGATTACAGGGGGCCTTGCTTTTTAGTTTGGTAACACTCAAGAGTTTTTAGGTTCGACTGTCGTTATGAATATGGTCTTCGATCGGGTAATGTTCGCCTTTCGACATTTCATACTCGTCGAAGTTCATATCATCATCACAAACCATAGATAAAATGTATCACACATACATTGTGACAATTTTTGCTGATTTACTGGTTTAGTTAAAGCTTCAAAGGTTAATCACAAAAGCACCCACAACTTAGCTACAAAAATCTAAGCCAATTCTCAAAATTACAAACATAGAAACATCTTCTACTCAAAATATCTATTTCTTCTTTCAGAAATTACACTACTGTGGGATTCTTTTTTGAAAAATACACACTTCAAGAGACCATTTGCAAGTTCACATATAAATTTGACAGCTGAAACATTATATATATATATATATATATATATCCTCTGGACACAAAAACCACCATTTTACATACCCATAAAAACCACCCCACCCCCCAATTCAAATTCTCAAACACCTCAAATTCCCAAACCCACTTTCCACATCAAACCCACGACCCGACCCATCCGAACCATACCATCAAACAAAAAACCCATCGCACATTTTCCTCAAACACATACACACACATATATGTATACATACATATATATATATTTATCCTCACACCTCGTTTTGCACCTCGAAAACCTCACTCCTCGACTTGGGCATCCGAAAGATATGCTCCTCCCCACTCTTATCATCCACCTGAAAAACCCACTTACTCCTATCCGTACTCCTCACGCGGGCCCCACCATCACCACCACCACCACCATTCCTATCGAACCTCCCCATGCAATAACTCCCCGATTTACTCCTTTTCACCCTCCTCTTCCCAAAATCGCTACCCTTCCCAATCATCGTGATCTCCATTCCCCTCCCTACAGGATGCTTCATCGACCTAACCCTCGTCTCCCCCTCGACACCCCTCAAATGGCCCGGCCCAAAACCCTTTTCCCCCTCGACAAGATTACTCGCCACAACCACCGAACGTCTCGGATTTACTCCGAGGCTTAGCCGTTTTTGGTCGAGGGATTTAAAGTCGACGAGGGAGAAGTCGATGTTGTCGTAACCGAAAAGGGCTTCGGCCGGGTCGCCCGAGGCCCGAAACTCGACCATATCGTTGAGGCCCGATTCATGGATGGCCCGGCGGGAAGGGTTGGGGGCGTCGGGTTCGGGGAGGATGCAGACGAGCTTGCCGCCAGTCTGGCGGGCGGCCACCGCGAGGGCGACTGTGGAAGGGGAGACTTGGGAGGTGACCTCCACGATGAGCTTGGCGCTCATGCCGGCGGCGAGGGCGGAGATGAACTCGTTGCTTTTGGGGATTTGGGGGCTTTCGCAAGAGGTGCATTCTCTCTGGCATTTGTTACACTGTTTCAGATGAAAAAAAAATTGAAAGGAAAATGCAAGATTGTGTCATTTGAATGCATAAAGATTGCAACTTTGATGTTATGGCCTATGGGAAATGAATGGGCTTGCTGAAAAGGATGGAAATTGAAAGAAAATGCAAAAACTGTGTCAAGAGATTGCAACTTTATTGTTCACGGAAATGAATGGGTTGCGGAAAATTGAGAGAAAATGCAGAGATTGTCGTTTGAAAAATGCGAAAAGATTGCAACTTTATTGTTCCCCCAAAACAAAATGACGAAAATTGAAACAAAATGCACAGAATGGGCTGCAGAAAATGACGAAAATTGAAAGAAAATGGAAATGTTGTCATTCTAATGCGTAAAGATTGCAACTTTATAGTTCGCAAAAAAAACAAAAACAAATGGGCTGCGGAAAAAGAAAATGCACAGATTGACATTCGAATGCGAAAAGATTGCAACTTTATCATTCACGAAAACAAATGGAACTACGCAGACGTGAAAACGAAAATATGTCATCTTTAACATGATTTTAAGAGGAAAACCCAATGGAATCAAGATATCTTGGGGCGGAGCGTACCAATTTGAGGGCGTCGAGGTAGGCATTCGTGGCGGATCTTGGTGACCAATCCATGTTTCTTTTGTGATCGAATTTGCGCCTCGGAATGGGAATGTTTTATGATCCGTCGTTAGAGTTTTGAATTCTTGATTTTTTTATGCTTTGCGTCTTGGAATGGGAATGTTTTATGATCCGTCGACGTCGTTAGGGTTTTGAATTCTTGATTTTTTATGCGTGGTTTGTTTTTAGGGGCTTTTTGTGTTAGCATTAGCATGTCTTAATTCTTATATTTGTTTTGGTTGTTAGGGAGAGAGAAATAAGGGGATTCACTGTTTACTGGCGAAAACGAGCAAGCAGACGCGGTACATTTGAATCTGATACTACTCACCTATTTTGACCTCAGCTCCCATGAATAAGTGGGTAAAACTTTTTCAGTAAATTTCAGGAAGGAATTTTTAGTCTTATGTCGCCAAATAATTTTTTTTCGTCAACTTAAGATACAATTTTTCTTTTAAAAGAATCAAGATTTGTTTGATTTAACATTTTATTTTTTAATATTATTAATATATCAGATAATAAAATTTAATTATTATTACACATTTTTCAATAAAGAAATTTTTATTTACATATTTTTAGTCATAATTTATTATTTTACTATTTTTTTATCACGACAAGTTTACGACTTTACTCATTATATTTAATCTCATATATATTCATAATTTCAGAATTTGTATTTATTTTTCCAAAAAAATATTTCTCATACCCTTTTTTATTAATAATTCTTTTAAAATGATTGGAATCTAATCTTATCAATTAATTTTTTATAAAGCCAGTATCGCAACGGGGGTGTAGCTCATATGGTAGAGCGCTCGCTTCGCATGCGAGAGGCACGGGGTTCGATTCCCCGCACCTCCATTTTTGCTTCCTTTTTAACTTTTTCTTGGGCCTACAAGACTTCCAAATCAGCTTCTTTTTAACTTTTTCTTGGGCCTACAAGACTTCCAAATCTTACTTTGGGCCTTACAAAATTTACTCTTATTGGGATTACAGATTTCAATTTATAACACAACTTAACTGTAGAACAAAATATTTTTGTCTTTTCATTCTTGTACTACAAATAGCCACGATAATCTCTTTTANATCACAATCTGTCTGCCTAAATTTTAACGTCACAATTAGGCGGTATAGATCGATCCCATCACTCTTTTTTCATAAATTCATGATTACGATAAGAAATATCATAACTGTTTTTTAAGTATAATATTTCAATTTAATATCATAAATGTTTTTTTTAAGTATAATATTTCGATTTAATAGTATGTTCACGCGATTAAATAATATATGGTTGTCTGTCTGATAATTAGATCTACTAACAAATAACAATAGTATTACTGATATATATAGAATTTTATACACTAATAAAAATAATAAAAATTATTTTTTATACTCATGCTAGAATAGAAAACCGTCTTAACCAAAATACAAAAATCTTCATGACCACAAGAAAATAAATTCAAATCGGCCACAGAAATCAACAGTATGGCCAAAAAAACGAAGCAGTATGCCGGTCACCGGACAAACTTGGCGAACGAGCTAAATATATTGCTCAAATTCTCAACAGAGTATCAAAGAATCATGTATAGGAAGTCAACATTACCTACACTATCGTTCGATAGGGAAAATACAAAAAATAAAGCCGTAAAAGAGACTAGTCAACACCGTCTCTTTATTTAGACCAAGCTACGGTATCAATCTCTGCTTGGGCTGATCTGTACAACTCGAGCCTCTTTGCAAGAGAGAGACGCCGCTGCATGATTGCTGGATCCTCGTCTAATAGTTTACCCAACTGTCTCCCCTGCGAAGCCACAATATAGAGCTCATTTTTAGTTCAGTTGAACTTGCAAAACTACCATTGATATTTTACCACAATTATGAAAAGAGAAGGCAAATAGTTCTGAACAAAATAATGTTGTTAGGTTGTCTAACCATTAGGCAACCAACCATACATTCCTAACAAAAATGCATCTTCATTCTATGAAATGTCGTATATTTCTTTTGACGTTATTTTTTAATGTATTACATTTCAGTAGTAAATCTATTGAAAAAATATACTTGTCTATCGGTTTGATAGCCTAAATTTCTCCTCCAAGTGAAGTATTTATCAGGGAAGAAAAAGGAATAAGTGGGATCACTTTTTCATTTTTTTTTTTTTTTTTGGTTATTATTATTATTTCTAAATGAGACTGGTTTTAAATGGTATGGTTGTAATATTATTCAAATAGACTGAATCCAAATGGTACATTTGTAAACAACAGATTTTTTGTATGGGATCAAATACCTCTTTTTTGCCTAATTCAGTGAAGAAATGATCGAGTAAGCTGCGCTTTGCCTCACGGACTTGACAATAAACAACGGACTTTGGAATGGAGTTCCTCAGGCCCGCACAAACCATATTGACATAAGACAAGACAGTTGATCCTGTACAAAAGAAAGTACCACACAAAACCAAGAAAATTGAAAGGAAATCAATACAGCAAAACAAGAAAAGGAAAGGAAAAAAAACACGCTTATTATACTGACCGATTCTCCGGAGATAAGTGTCGTTATATCTGTCGAAAATCGAATGGGTTGGATTGCCACCCTTCTCGACATCCTGAGGAAGCTTCCGGAAGAAGTCAACAGTCAAGTAGCTGTTCTCCATTTCTACTAACTGTAGAGTGGCCTTCCTGCTTTCTTCCTTCATCCTCTCTAATGACTCAACTGCCGCATTCCCAACCTCCACTCTTAAAGAAGGATACTGCTTCAGCTCCTGTAGGCAACAAAGGCAACCATCAATAAGCATTTTTGTGCAATTAATAATTAGCCCATTCTAGAAAGTTAAACCTAAATAGAAAAAATAAGTCAACAGATTCAAAAGCAAACCAACCAATGTCCATTGCAACAGATCAATTTGAAAGCTTGTTGTATCCAATATATAAAATGATAAAAGATCAATTCGATGAGGGAAAGAAATTAGCAGACTTACCACGGTCTCATTAATTGACTTATGAACTAGTTCCTTCAGTATTGCATGAACCTGAAACACTCATATATATATTGGTGTTTGAGATGGTAAAAATTATTAGTCATCTTATTTTTGACATGGAAGTCTATATTTTTCGTAACTAAAAAACTAAATACAACATAACAATATCGATATGAATAAAATTACGAATGTATACCGCATCAACAGCTGCCTCAGCAGGACCTTTGATTGTAATCAAGGCAGTTTCGATGAGACGACGATAACCCTGCTCGGGTGCTATAAGATGAGGCTGATATCCATCAGCTTCAGTTATTAATTTCCGGACATTTTCCATTGCCAGATGCTTGTCAAACTGCAAGCGTTTCAACGCAGCTGGTAATTGGTTATCAAAAACATTGTATATCTTATCACCACCAGGTCGACTGCAAAATAACGACAATAAATATAATTGTTAGAAAAGATTACGGAAGGAAAAAAAAAAAAAAGACAATATTGAATATTTCATGGGCATTAACAAAAAAAAAAATGGTGATGCATACACTCCATCGAGATGCTCTTTGAATATTCCATCAAATATGCGGCAGATCTCCATAATCATGTACAACTTTCCCTGCATGACCAACCAACCAGCGCATGTGAAAGATGAAGGTGATTAATGCTGAAGAATAAAGAGCAAACATAACATCTTCGCTTTTAATTTTCGACCGAACTCCTAATCAACTATGGATTAATAAACGGTAATTAGTAATGGACTTTGAATAGGAAATGAAATGAAGGGTTTGCTTACCCCAGCATCAGTTGCAATTGGCTTTCCAAGGCGACTCAGTTCAGTTTCTAGCTCAATAATAGTCTTGTTGATGAGTGACTGAAGGCCTGGAATTCGAGATTTGATGACAGCTTCCAAATGCTATAAGACAACAAAGAATGAATTAAAATTAAAATATTTAAAAAGATTAAAAAAGGCAATGGTGTACTTACGTTTTAGACCAGCAAGACATAGCCACATAGATCATTCAAGAAAGCGAAAGGCAATTGTCATGAAAAAAAGAGGCCACAGCACTAAAATTATTAGAAATTTTGTTTTGGATAAGATTCTTCAATTCAGTTTAGAGATTTTATACTATTTATGCCTAAAAAGAAAATAAGTAGCAATAAGTCCAATATGATGCTCACTTTAGATAGAACTTTCCCTAGATGCTCAGAACCCATCCTGTGAGCAAGATGCTTGTACTCTGGGGTTTGAGCAAAATACTCCCGCTCTCTTCTTCTAGCAGCAATCATGTCTACATTTTTATTGATGTCAGCTTGTGAGCGATTAACAACACCTATCCATGGGAATTGCAGCTTATATGCTCTTCCCTCCAGCATCTAACAAAATAAGAAACAAAGCAGTCATTATATATTCATTTATCCTCATAACAAAAACGAACTATTTCAAAATATTAATTCAACAATTCAATGCAGTAAATGGGAATATGAAAAACAGTAAAGCAAAAAGAAACATCCATGCTTGTATTCCAGGTAGTATGGAAAGCTCAACATCTAATTAATCATCAAACAAGAAAACTATTCTTTGGTCCACATCTAATTAATCATCAAACAAGAAAACTATTCTTTACTCCACAAAGCATCAGCATATTAAGAAGCCAAAGGTTCTCGACTTACATCTACAGCATCGGTACCCTTATCCATCAGATCAATCTTTGTTAACACACCAAATGTTCTCTCTCCTGAAAAAGAAACAGTTAGAAACAATATGCGGAAACAAAAAAGATGAACCTCAATAGAATGATGTTCGTGTATAATCACCAGCTTAAGAGCTGGTGATACTAAGCCATGAGACATTCTTTATAATGAACCCAATCACACCACTACAAGATATCAAAGCCATACCTTTTGGGTCTACTTCACGCGAGATCTTAATTGCATCAGAAGTTGCGAGATCTTGGTTGGCAGGAGATACTGCCAAAATAATACAGTTGGGCTGCAAGTGATATTAAATCAAAAATAAGGTACTGAAGCACAAATAGTACCAAATGAGTCACTAACATTTTGGGCCACCAAAAGAAAATCAATAATCATCAATATACCTTCTCAATATAGGAGCGCACCATGTTCTCAATGTCCATCACTATGCTTTCTGACTGACCCTCTAAGATAAACCCAGAAAACAATCAGTCCGGAAATGTCTGGAAGAAAATGTAATAACAATGTAAAATAGGTAGTCAAGGTAGACTCACCAACAGCCACTTTTGTAAGCCCAGGAAGATCGATCAAAGTCAGATTCACAACTGCAGTTAAGAGAAGTACACAAATTACTTCAACAACAAAAAGAAAGAAAAAAATCATTTCTCTCAAATCCACTCGTGTTCATACAGATATTACAGATACTGTACATGATGAAATATAAGATGAGACTCATATATTATATGTCTTATCACTACCGAAAAACTGTGGTCACAAAACAGTGAGCATAATAAAATATTTCATGTCATTCTCAGATATTTGCTTTACTCACCAGTCAACGTCCAACATAAAATGCTCCAAGCTAGAACAGTTATTCCATGTTTATTTTAACAAGGGTGTGCCAGCACTCTTATAGTAGAATGGAGAGAGAGAGAGAGTGAGAGAGAGATTCATTCTATGCACTTATCCTAATAACGGAAACAACATATGGCTACACAATAAACATTTGGTAATAGTTATATGAATGAAATTTAAGAAATCATAAATTACAAATAGGCCTGAGACTAACCATTAGGAGAATAAATGCTAAGATATATAGGAACAGTAGATATTTGTTTACTGCGTCCTGTCTCTCGATCAGTCTCATCAGAAATCTCTTTTCTCACAGCAGCTGCACAAGCAATAAAGCATCAAATGTTAAAATGAATATATAACCAAAGTCTTCAGGGATATTAACAAGATATCAACTATGCAATTTGGTAGCAATTGGGTATTATTGCAAGAAAGAAAATAACATACTTCTGGCCAAAGCTCGCACTTTGAAACATTAACCATGATATAAATTAATCAGATGAAGTACGTTCGAAAAAAAAAAAAAAGAATAATCTCTTCCACTGACTTACCAAAATCCGTGAATTTCTTTCTAGGAAGATGTCCAAACTCGGCATATTCTCTACCTTCGTCAATCCGATGAAGTTGCAAGACAAGTGGTCGTCTAGTAACAATACCTGTGTTTTATACAAGAAATTCAAGTTGCCATAGCCTCAATATCCACGGATCATAACTACCAACAGAGGATAATCACCGGATAATGCCAACACATATGGTGATGCAGCAATAAATACAGTTGATGCCACTTACCAGATCCTCGAGGCAAGAAATCCTTTCCAACAATGCTCTCCAGTACAGAGGACTTTCCCGAACTCTAATAACCATAAAATGAAGGTGTTACTACAATAAGAAACAATAATAAGGTGTAAAGGAAGCTCATTTGATGAAAGGAGGCAATTTTATCATGGTAATAAGTAATAACTAATAAGTGAAGACTGTAAAACCTCAAATGATATAGCCATTCACATCACTTTTCCAAAACCTCATTTGATAATAAAATGAGAAAGAGATTTAAGAAATTCTGTAAGAAATTTATCCCAGTCTCAAGTGACCCACTAAATGAAACTGAAAGAGAAGTTTTTCAGCGTGATGCTCGCTGCTATTTTTCATGCTTTTCTTCATTCAGGGTTCTTGCACCACTTATCAGAAATAGTTAGCCACACACATTCAGTTTCAGTTACATTGTCCCGAATGACAAAAAACACATACTGACACCCACCAATTATATAAATAAAAAATGGAAACAAAGAGAAAACGATTGTCAGGTAAATTGAGAAAT